GCTCTAACAACATCCAAGAAGCTCAGTATCATCTGGGGCAAAGAAGCTGGCTTGATTTGCACCCCATTCAATACCTTCAATATTCATTCCCTTTATGACCAAAGGACAGTAGTGGTAGTGTGTAACATTTACAAGACACACAGCAGTAACTCACCAAGGCTCCTATGACAGCAACTTACAAACTTCTTATCCGTAACCTCTAGAAGGGCAGGGGCCACTGTATAGGGGAACAGTGCCAGCTGCAAATTACACACCATCCTGACTTGGAATCATATCATTGGTTCTTCATCATTGCAAAGTCAGAATCCTGTAACTGTCTTCATAACAGTACTGTCAGAGTCCCTACACCCCAAAGACCAGTTTCAGTGGGGCAGCACGGTGGCTCAGTGGTTAGCACTGCTACCTCACAGCGCCAGGGACCCGGGTTCAATTCCACCTTCGGGTGACTGTCTGTGTGGAGTTTGCACATTCTCCCCGTGTCTGCGTGGGTTTCTTCCGGGTGCTCTGGTTTCCTCCCACAGTCCAAAAAAAGATGTGCAGGCTAGGTGAATTGGCCATGCTAAATTACCCATAGTGTTCAGGGATGTGTCAATTAGGTGGGTTTATAGGGTAATGGGTCTGGGTGGGATGCTCTGTGGATCAGTGTGGACTTGTTGGGCCGAACGGCCTGTTTCCACACTGTAGGGATTCTATGAGACATGGCTCACCACCTTCTGAGGGCATTTGGAGATGGGCAATAAATGCAGGCCTTTTCAGTCAAATCAAAATCTGATGAACAACATAAAATAAATGTGCTATTCAAAGAGCCTTAGTGAGTATTTATAGAATCCCTACAGTGGAGAAAGAGGCCATTTGACTCTTCAAGTCCACATTGACCCACTGAAGAGCGTCCTACCCAGAGCCACTCCATCACTGTATCCCTGCATGAGTTTTTACCATGGCTGACCCACCTAGCTGGACACTAAAGGGCAATTTTTAGCATGGCTAACCCACCTAGCCTGCACATCTTTGGACTGTGGGAGGAAACTGAAGCACTCAGAGGAAACCCAAGCAGACACGGAAGACTGTGCAAACTCCACACAGACAATTGCCCAGGGCTGGAATCGACCCTGGGTTCCTGGCGCTGAGAGGCAGTGCTACAAACAGTTCAGCTTGTAGGTTGTACACACTACTGCACCAAGGGCACTGGAAGTGAGTGTTCAAGATGGTAGATGGGTGCTCCAAGTGGGTTATTTTGTCTTGGATGGTGTGGAATTTTAAGGCTTGCTGAAGTTGATAAATTTGGGAAGCAGAAGCTCTTCCTCAACTAAGCAATGCTCTATGTGGCTTTTAAAATTCATTCAAAGGATGTGAAGTGTCACTAGCTAGACCAGCATTTATTGCCCATCCCTAATTATCCAGAGGGCAGTTAAGAGTCAACTACATTGCTGTGGGTCTGGATTCACATGCAGGCCAGACCAGGCAAGGGTGGCAGTTTCCTTCAGAAAACCAGATGAACTTTTCCTGACAATCCACAATGGTTTCATGGTCATCATTGAATTCAAATTCCACCACCTGCTGCGGGAAGGATTCATCCACCCAAAATCAATGTCACCACCTTTGTAGAGGTAGAAGACCAAATAAAATCCAGCACAATTTAGGGAGAAAAATAGGAACATTTTTCTCAAACATCTTCAGGCAATCAAAACTGGTTCAGAACACCATTTGTACCCTAGTTAACGTGATAGTGCACTTACCATTTAAATAGTGATATCTGCCTCAAAACAAAAAAACGTCCAGCTCTCATTTATAGTTGTTTGACAAATTGGGGTTATGGACTAGCTAGCAGTCTCTTCAATATATCCACTATTTACAGGGAAAAGAACCATCTTCTAACAGCCAACCTGTTCTGACTTGTAAATCGCAGAGTCCTAAATCTTTGAATTATCTTAACAACTAAGTTGCATTAAACTGGGCATTAGTAAGGGAGGCGATGGTTTAGTGGTATTATCGCTGGACTGTTAATCCAGAGACCCAGATAATGTCCTGGGGACCTGGGTTGGAATCCCACCATGGAAGATGGTGGAATTTGAATTCAATAAATATCTGGAATTGAGAGTCTAATGATGACCATGAATCCATCGTCAATTATTGGAAAAACCCACCTGGTTCACTAATGTCCTCTAGGGAAGGAAACTGCCATCATTACCTGTTCTGGCCTACATGTGACTCCAGACCCACAGCAATATGGTTGACTCCTAACTGCCTCTGGGCAATTAGTGATGAGCAATAAATGCTGAATGAATAATAATAAAAAGTTTAGTCTGCCTCTTATGCAATAAAGGGCTATTAGCTCAAACAGAGGATCACAGTACATGATGAAAACACATGGTTTAGAAAACATAATCATTTCTTGTGATAAGTAGTTTATTTTATAAAATGCATTCCTGTTACATTTTACACACACACACACACACACACACACACACACACATATATATATATTTGGACAAGTTTTGAAATTAAACAAATTATTGCCATTCGATTTGGAAGCACTAATAGCTGTTCAGTAATGCTATTTGAGTGATGCTATCCTCTCATTGCTACAGTACTTATTCATACTACAAAGATATTCTGAAAATACATTAAGAGCAAGAGGGTAACTAGAGAGAGGGTTGGGCCACTTAAAGATCAAGGAGATCGTCTTTGTGTTGATCTCCAGAAGATGGGAGAGATACTAAATGAATATTTCATATCAGTTTTTACTGTGGAGAAAGAAATGGAGTCGAGAGAATGCAGAGAAATAAACTTTGATGTTTTAAAAACAGTTCACATTATGGGAGTGGAAGTCAGGAGGTCTTAGAGAATAAACAGGTGGATAAATCTCTGGGACCTGATTTAATGTATCCCAGAATGTTGTGGCAAGGAAGCGAGGAAATTACGAGATCCCCTTGCAGAAATATTTGCATCATCTATAACTAAGGGTGAGGTGCCTGATGACTGGAGGGTGGTTAATGTTGTACTTTTGTTTAAGAAAGGATGTAAGGAGAAACCGGGGTACTATAGACATGTGAGTCTGACTTCAGTTGTGGGTAAATTGTCGGAGGTAATTGCAAAAGATAGGATTTATGGACATTTAGAGAGGCAAAAATTGATGAGGGATAGTCAGTATGTTTTTGTGTGACGAAAATTGTGTCTCACGAACTTGATTGAGTTTTTTGAGGAAGTTACCAAAAATGTCGATGATGGCAGAGCAGTGGAGGTTGCTTATTTGGATTTTAGTAAAGCCTTTGACAAGGTTCCGCATGGTAGACTCATTAGTAAAGTTAGGTCACATGGGATTCAGGGTGAGCTTGCCAATTGGATAGTTAATTGGCTTAATGACAGGAGACAGAGAGTAATGGTGGAGTGTTGCTTTTCAGACTGGAGGTCTGTGACCAGTGGTGTTCCACAGGGATTGGTTCTGGGTCCTCTTCTGTTTGTCATTTATATAAATTATATGGATGAGAATATAGAAGGCATAGTTAGTAAGCTTTTGAAGTTAGTAAGCTTGGATGACACCAAAATTCGTGGCATAGTAGGCAGTGAAGAAGGTTTTCCATGGGTCAATGGGCTGAAAAATGGCAGATGGAGTTCAATTTGGATAAAAGTGAGGTATTGTATTTTGGAACAACAAACAGAGGTAGGGATTATACAATTAACGGTAGGCCCTTGGGTAGTGTTGTAATATAGACAGACCCGGGGTGCAGGTACATAATTCTTTGAAGTCCCTATCACATATAGATAGAATGGTTAAAAAGGCATTTGGCATTCTTGCCTTCATTGCTCAGTCCTTTGAGCATAGGAGTTGGGACGTTATGTTGAGGTTGTACAGGATATTGGTGAGCCTTCTTCCGACATACTGTGTCCAGTTCTGGTCGCCCAGTTACGCGAAGGACGTTATCAAGCTGGAGAGGGTTCAGAAGATGTTTACCAGGACGTTGCTGGGTATGGAAGGATTGAGTTATAAGGAAATGCTGGATAGCCTGGGACATTTTCCACTGGAACATAGCAAGCTGAGAGGTGATCTGATAGAAGTTTATAACATAATGAGAGGTATAGATAGAATTGATGGTTGTTGTCTCTTCCCTAAGATGGGGAATTTCAAGACTAGGGGGCACATTTTTAAGGTGAGAGGGATTTAAAAAAGACATAGGAGGCAAACTTTTTTTTGTTTTTTTTACACAGGGTGTTTGCACGTGGAATGAATTTCCTGATGAAGTGGTGGATGTGGGTACAATTACAACATTTCAAAGATATTTGGATGGATGTACGAATAGGAATGGTTTGAAGGGATATGGGTGAGAAGCAGCCAGGTTGTACTAATTTAGTTTGGGATTATGTTCAGCAGTGGACTGGTTGGACTGAAAGGTCTGTTTCTGCGCCGTATGACTCTATGACTCTACAAACAATTGGCAAAGCCACATACATGTTGTATAAAACCAATTCATTAATTTTGAATATCGTTATAACTTTTTTGGAAAATTGCATTAATTGCAGTTTTATTTCTCTCGAGTTAACCAAAAGTAACTTTGAAACTGATCAAACTGTTTTAAAATTGTACATTTCACACGTGCCAGCTCATCTTAACATTTCTATCTAATATCTCCGTGGAAAAATATAATTGTTCTTCTGATTCTTTATACTCAGATTTCATAGTTAATTTTTAAACAAGAATGTTCTACCCTCTTTTCTAATTGTCATTATTTATCTTCTCCATTATCTGGCTACAGTAAACCATCATAATTGGCTGGTTTGTGGAGTTGATGAAGCATCATATGCATTGTAGACAGGTACTCAAAATCCCACATCTTTCAATATTTACACTTCCATGAACTCAGTTTCATCAAAAGATGCTTTCCAACTGTGAAAATGCTCCACTTTTGTATATTCCACACAGTTTATCTTAAATGAATGAATTAATTCATTTGAAATATCTGATTTCCTATAGTAAATTATAATAGTGCCAAAAGACAACGCTGTAGAGTTTTGAATTTATTTGCTAATTAAAGCATATCATACTGTCAGTGTAAGTTGCTTTTAAGATAATTATAAAAAGACGTAGTAGTACACATAATTAGAACAGCGTTTTTTGATGAATTGGGACTTTTTTTTAAAAAGCTCGAGTGAATTAATGTGGAACGCTATAGGAACATTTAACAGGTCATTACTAATGGCATCATAATACTTTGCATGGACATCCCTTTACAAAACACCATTTAAAAAAAACATTCAGCAAAACAAATTACAACAATTGCCACAGGCTTTTTTTTTTTTCATTTTACTTGTAAGCAAAAATGATTATGATGTAAAAGATAAAGTTCATTGAACATGTGTAATTACATATACAGGATATATAAAACAAAATGTTCATAAAGCTGTTTATTTTTAAAACTAAAAATACAAAAGCTGCTTCAATGAACTTGTATAAAGGAATAATTTACAGCCAACTCAGTTTCTGATAACAGGAAAATAATTTAATATGGGCAAACCTGAGCAATTGTCCACTTGACTGCCTAAGAGCTGCAAATTCAGATTTCACTTCAGGCAGTATTTGATTATATAGTACTATATGTGGAATGATTTAATAATATAATCCCTAGAAATTTCTGAGATGTGTTCTGAAATAATGTTCTCCATAATAAAGAATGATCAAAATATTTTACTTCTCACAAAACAATTAAGATTTTCATAGTCATATATAACCAATTGGCCGAGTTTAGTTATTACAAAGGTTAAATACTTGCTTGACAAAACTTTGCTAGATTATTGTGTATTATTGAATTGAACACAGCATACTAGAAGACCATGTTTAGCTGACTGCTGATGGGGTCACAATTAAATAAAGACATGGCTGGACAATTTTATGTTATGCAGCATAAAGAAAATTCTTCTAATTTGTCAATGCTATTGGTGAGCCACCTGTTTGGAATGTAATGCAAAAAACTTTCAGTTTGGATTTTAGTGTGCCTGTTCTATGAACTTGAAAGAGATCCAGAACCAACCCATTTTATTGCCAGTCACACTGGATGTTGGTGACATTTGGTATGTTGGCAAGGGACCTCTACTGTTTAGGGTATCTGCCCAAAATAGATGTCAGCTTTTCTGCTCATTTAACTAAAGAGGACTAACACAAGTTTTCAATCCCTTTGCTAAATCAGGGCAGGCTGGACTGCAGTGGACATGCTGTAGATAGTTGTTAGGTACATTGGAGCAGCCAAGCCAGTGGTCAAAAGGACTGCTGGAGACAGTTTCCAGAAAGTGTAGGTCATTTAAAAAAGAAAACACTGCAGATGCCAGAAATCCAAAATGAAAACAGAAAATGCTGGAGAAACTCAGCAAGTCTCAACATCTGTAGAGAGAGAAAAACAGTTAACTTGAGTCCAATGTGACTCTTTTTTTGGAATTGAAGTGGGCAGAAATAGTGGGTTTTATGCAGTTAGTAAAAGGGAGAAAGAGTAAGTGGAATAAATGGTAAATATGCCCTCAAACACAAGGTAAAGGAGTGCTAATGGAAGTAGGGAAAATATATCAATGCAGAACAGGTGTGAATGTCTGGTGTTAATAGCAGAAAATAGGTCAGCTCAGCTCAAAGCACCCATTAACATTCTTATTATCTCTGAGTGAGTTATAAACCCGTTAAAATATACCATTCATATCCACTATCCATTTATTACTTTTCCCTTATGCCACTAGAACTCCCTTAGCTTTTTATTTCAGGGCACAATTGCTGTCTATTCCATTTGCTCTTCTCCCCTTTTTTTTTCTACAGTGTTAAACCCACTACTTTTCTAGCCCTTTTCATTTCTAAACAAGTCATTTTGGACCTTTTTTTCATATTCGAGTCAGAGCGAACAATTCTTTTTCTCTATACAGATGCTGCTACCCCTGCTAGATTCCCTAGCACTGACTTTTTTTAAGGGTAGGTAATTACCTGAATGTGTAGCCAGGGGGTCAGGAAAAGATTCTTTTGGGGCTCTTTTGCATCTGTCTCTGTGTGGTGGTCCTGGCTTCCATTGTGTTCACACCTGAACTCGGATATGAACCAATTTCTATCCGGAAATAAACTTTTTTTTAAGCGAGTTAATAAGGTAATGATGCATTACAATGAGCCATACCAGTCAAAGAACTGGGGGACGATTTACAGCATGCAACTCTCAACTCTTAGTTGAGTCATCAGTGAAGATTAATTCATACCGTATTAGTTATGCTTATTATTATAACATGATAAGCAGGTTTGTGGGATTTAAACGATTAGTCAGTATTGACCATGAAAAATTATCATAGTTTACATAATGGGGTCCATATAACTGAGGTCGGTGACTCAAATCATCTTCATGTTGAACTTCCTCGCTCCTCCTTGTCCGCCACTGACTGTTGGGCCATCAACCTTGCGGAATGAGTACTCAACGGAAAAATTGTTTTTATGGTGGCCCCTTCCTCGGCTCCACACAAATAGGAGCAGGAAACAGAACAGCACCACCCCTAAAAAGGTGATGCACCCCATGGCTGTGGAGACCAGGATGGTTTTCACGTCAAGTGTGAACTTCAGGAATACCTGTGTGTCGTTGAATGCAGTCTCGTTGAATTCTGAGAGGTATGCTGTCCTGTTAGCATACAGGGCGCCGTCTGCGGGCCGTCCCTTTACAGTCAGCACAGCGAAGGAAGTGTCATTGCCTCCGGCGTTGCTAGCGATGCAGATGTGAGTGCCACTATCATGGGCTTGGACAAAGCGGATCTCCAGGGTACCTCCGGGCAGGATAGTTATCCTGCCGTTACTTTTACTGGTGATCATCCTCCTTTGGGGAGAGACCCACATGATAACAGGAGCCGGTTCCCCATCGGCCCTACAAGTGAAATAGACCGTCTGTCCTTCGCCAGCGGTGACTCGCTGGGGTTTCCTGTCCCGGATTTTGGGCTTTTGGCATGTAAAATAGCTATGGACGGCAGAGTCCTCGAAGTCTTTCAGCTCGCTGCCCTGGATATCCGCTGGCGAGGCACAGACCGGCTGGTTACCGTCAAAACTCAGCGCCTTTCTCCTGTGCAGAAGCCACAAGAGGCGGCAGTCACAGGACAGAGGGTTGCTATCCAAACGCAGCACTGCCAGGCTAGCCACGGACTGGAAAGCATTCTCTTCCAGGGTCACCAGGAAGTTGTTGGAAACGTTCAGCACTTTTAATTGCCTCAGGCCGAGGAAAGCGTGCGGCTCGATGGTAGCAAGCATGGTGCTGACCATGTACAAATGCTGGAGGCGGATTAAATCACGAAAAGAGCCCGATTCAATGATGCTGATAGGATTGTAGGACAGGTTCAGCAATTTGAGATAGATCAGATTCCTGAAGGCCCCAGAGGGGACAGTAGAAAGGTTTGTGCTAGTGATGGAGAGATACGTGAGGTTCAGGCCGTACAGGGTTGTGGGAGTAATGGTGTCAAGAAGTGGCCAGTTGTCAATCTCCAGTTCTTTCAGGTTGTTCAGTTTCCGAAAGTTCTGCTCTTCCAGGAAGCTGATGCTGAGGTGGCGTAGCCTCAGTGTGATCAGACTCTGGAGGTAGGACAGGGATTCTGCAGAAATCGAGGTCAGATTACATTTCTCGATGGTGAGCTGCTCCAGGCTCAACAGGCCAATAAAAGCCCGCTGGGAGATGTAGACAAGATCATTGTCGCCAACTTCCAGGTGTTTCAAATTCCTCAAATCCTGGAACATGTAATCCAGGAGAATCACCAGCTTGTTCTCACTGAGATCCAAGCGGGTTAAATTGCTCAGTCTGCTGAAGACCCCGGTTGGAATCAGTTTCAGTTGGTTGCCGCGAAGCTGCAGGGTCCTCAGGTTGAACAAGTTGTTGAAAGCTCCGGGTTCGACGTTTGTAATGATATTCTCGCTCAGATCAATCTCTTCCAAGAGAGGAAAAGCTGCCAAATCCCCTGAGCTGATGCACCTCAGTCTATTTTTGCTCAGGTCAAGTATTTTCGTTTCAATGGGAATGCCTTCAGGAATAGCTGTCAGTCGCTTTCTGTGGCACACCACTGATTTAATTTGAGCCGCGCATTCACATCGAGCTGGGCAGCTGACTGTTGATCTTGTAATTAAAACCATGAGGGTGAGACCCAGAAACTGTTGGCAGCATGATGACATTGTGTAAAACATGATGTTACTGATGCAGTCTGTCATTCTCCCATGCACCTGCATTAGAAAACAAACATATCAGCAAGATTCATTTTGCATCTTACATTCAAACAGGAGAATCTGTTAAAATTGTTTTAAAAATTCATACTGTTACTTTTTTCATTCAGATACAGTATTTATTTTCTTTTAGAAACAAAGCTCAATTTTATATCTGTTTATTAAATAACAGCTGGGATAATACTGCCAGACAAATTTGGTCCACCCTCTCCTGCCATCCCCAAACTGTTTCTAGGGTTAGGATGATAGGATGCTGATGGTTGTTCAGTTGTGAAATTCCAGCAACACCATTGAAAGGTGACCGAGTGGCTAAAAACAGAAAAGAATCCTGAAAATGCAACGGTCAGCATCCCAGCAAGTTAAAGACTGCAGAAGAAAGCAACACGCATAGAGATAACAAGGTGTAGAGCTGGATGAACACAGCAGGCCAAGCAGCATTAGAGGAGCAGGAAAGCTGATGTTTTGGGTCTGGATCTCAGTGAGAGCAAGCTGGTGATTCTCCTGAATTGCATTCTGAAGAAGGGTCCAGACCTGAAAAATCAGCTTTCCTGCTCCTCTGATGCTGCTTGGCCTGCTGCGTTCATCCAGCTCGGCACCTTGTTATCGCAGATTCTCCAGCATCGGCAGCTCTTACTAGGTCTGAACACGCACAGAGATGTATCTTGAAGGTAGTTTTAAGCTGGAGCTCTAATATTCTAATGGATAGTGTTCCTGCCTCTGAACTAGAAAGTCTGGGCTCAAGGCTCACTGTAGGACTTGATGGCTACGGAAAGTACATTCATAATGGAGCTAAACCTGATGAATATCAAATTGGACGTCTTTCCCTCATACTCCAAATGCAGGTGATAAGAATAGAAGGTATTCCTAGTCAGCCATGTGATAGAAGTAAAAGGGGAGCTCAACCCAAACATAGTTGAATAACAGTAACACATTCCCCTTTCTGAACCATACCTTAAACACAATGGGATATCGTCTCTTTACTCCTGTAACACAATATACATTTTGTTTTAAACTGTTTCTGGAGACCATTTGCAGTGAGAATCAATGTTTTACTGGATTCCAGGAATTGGAAAAGAGTTTTAGAACAAAAAAGATGAGACAGTAAAAGCTTGTCTAATAAATAAATCAAAAGTACACAAACAGGTAAGGTTACTCTGCTCACTCCAACGGCCAGAAAGAGCTACAGTTCTATGGGATAGACCATGACTTATGTGATGAGATTGAGTTATCAACTTCTTTGGTTTTACATCACTCCCAATGGATTTCAGTGGAATTACAAAACAGGCTGATTCTATCACACAATCTAACTCTCATATTAAGTCAATATTGCCCTATTCTTTCAAAAACTTACGTTGAGTTTTCTTTTATAGACATGAATGTAGGAAAATAACTAAATAACTTTTATTAGAAAACTTCCTGTTGCTACTATCTGTTATTGTCATGACCACAGATCAACCCTGCTTCACTTATGGATATGTTAAACTTTTAATTGCAACATATAAAACAAATGGGGGAAATATAGTCAAAAAAGAATTGCAGATGTAATTTCTGTGGCTCTCCAAACAGGAACCCTGGAATGTTACACTTGAAGGTGTCGAGGAAGCTTTAAAGAGAGAAATACACGACAAACTGAACTGTAATTTCCTATGAGTATTTCAGACTGTGAATATGATGAGAGAAAAGACAGCAGTCTAGATGAGAGATAGTAGGAACTGCCGATGCTGGAGAATCTGAGATAACAAGGTGTAGAGCTAGATGAACACAGCAGGCCAAGCAGCATCAGAGGAGCAGAAAAGCTGACATTTTGGGTCTGGACCCTTCTTCAGAATGTGCTAGTGGGCTGGGTTGCTCATGTGTACCAGTGAGCTGAGGTACTTATATGGACAAGCATGGGTTTGCGTGTTAGTGTGATGTGAAAGTAACAGTTGAAGGACCATCCTGTAGTCCTCCTGCATTCTGCATCCTGTAGTCCTCCTGCATTCTGCATCCTGGAAGCTAGTAAGCAGGCAAGACTCCCTCGGTCGGAGTACTGGAAACCAGTTAGCAAGGTAATTCAAAAGGAAATATGACAAATAACTTCACAAAACCTGCAAAGCCAGGAATTTAGAAATCAACTAAATTATTAAGTTTATAATGCTCAATTATCAAGATTCCGCTATCTTCACACATGACTCACAGGCTGATTTGTGTATCTTTTATCTTTTATTTTTGTACTCCCTTCTCATTTCTGATCAGTGTACATGTACATTGCATTATTATTTATTCTTGTGATTTGTAAAGAAGAAACCTCACTCTTTCATTTACTTAAGGAAGATTAAATTTACACCTTTGAATGAACATGTAAGTTCATTTGTTCTGGGCGAAAGGAATCCACTAGAAGGGGGATGTTATTAAAATGACTTTGTTGCAGATGAAATGGGTGAATAGAGAAGGCGATCAGCTCATTGCTTCTCACTCAAACTTGACAATTTGGTGTATCCTAACTGGAACAATAACATGGGGAACCTAACTTGTGAACTGGTTGCAACATTAAACATTGTTACATTAATCACAGAGATAAATATTCCTATACTACTTCTGGTAAACTTGTCAGGGTTGTCTATGGGAAATAGCACTTAAAGATTTTTTGTTGTCCTATATTCTTAAATTTGTGAATTATTGAGAAGATCAGTCTATCTGTTATAGCAGTAACTATTACTTGATTGGATGTGAGTGCAGTGGTGAATGTTATCATCCTTCAGTCATTAATTCTGCAACTGTTGTATTCATTTCCGTGACATTTCCCTGTAGAAGGTGATCAAGTGTTTTTGAGTAACCACAGCAGTTTCATTTTATCTGAGTTCTGAAGAAGTCATAATGAACTTGAAACATTAACTCTGTTTCTCTCTCCACAGATGTTGCCAAACCTACTGTGTTTGTTTCTATTTTATCCATGACACAGCGGATAATGTGGTTTGGAAAATTGAGGATTTTGAGGTATTTAGTGTGAAAGGGGCCAGATGCAATTCCTGGTCCAAGTTAGCAAGCCTGAGCCAGGACAAAAGTTCGACTTGTGACACACTCATTTAGGACAGTAACTGGCAAATGTAATCATGGGATTTTTCTCCTTATTGCTACCTCTGCTGGAAGCTGATGTCAAAATGATTACTGACAGATGTAGGACATCCCATGGTACTGTATAAGTTTGTAAACTTTGCGCAGATTGCACTGTATAGAATTTGCAAAGTTGTACGAAGTGTGAACATTGTGTAAAATTTGCTGCTCTTTGTAGAAAATAAAATCCAGTTTTGAATTTCCTCAACTGTGTAGGCCATGGAATTTTCTCTCTGTTAAGGTTCAGAGCTGAAGAATAACCATTAAAGAACCATCAGTGGGCTTCAAGCAGTAATAAAGCTACAGGTCTGTATAAGTTCCTCAAGTGAGATACAGCCATGGATTAAATTCGGAGGATTTAAGGCAAATAACAACCAAAATATTATACTTATGAAGTTATTCAAGGAGTCAGGATGTATTCATTTGCAAGAATAGATTGCATCTGAGCTTTGGCAGAATGTCAAAATTTTGCATGCTATATGTTTGGCATTCGTCTTTGCTAACGAAAACGCTAGCCAGTTGGTTAAACACAATTTTTCCATTAAAAAATCCATGCTGACTCTTCTAAATCAATCCACATTTTTCCAAGTCTCAAAACACAGACAATAGCTGGTGCAAAATGGAGTATGGTTTGACTTCTCCCTGACTATACAACAGGGAAAAACTGCACTGCAGGGAAACTGTGCTCATTGGGATTTGGGATCTGAATTCCCAGCTGGAAATGCAGATCTCAGTATTCACATTAGGAAAAAAATGAATAGAGTAGAAATCTGACTGTGATTACCACTTCACAGAGTAGCCGATTCAATGCAGTCTCACAAAATCACTATATGTGACTACTGTGCTGGCAAAATGCTTACCACATTCATCACTGTTATTTCAAATGCCTCCATTAAAGTAACCAGTTAACCTCTGGTTCAAACTAGTGGAAAGATTGGTTTGAACATTAGTTTGATAGTACTTTTGGTACTTCTGAATCTCTGTAAGCATCAAGAGACTTGACCAAAAGACTAATCATTTGACTGATCATTTTTAAAATTAATTCATGTGAATTTGGATGTAGCTGGTAAAGTCTGTATTTATTGCCCATTCCTAATTACCCTGAACAAGGTGGTGGCATTCTTGAACTGCTGTAGAACGTGGCAAGGGGCAGGGATACCGACAACATTTTAGGAAGCGAGTTTTAGGATTTTGACCCAGTGACAGTAAAGGAACAGCATTATAGCTCCAAGTCAGTATGGTATTTCACTTGGAGGGGTATTTTCAGGTGTGGTGTCCCTGTGTGTCTGCGGCCCTTGTCATTTGAGTTTGCAGATTTCGAAGGTGCTGTCAGAGGAAGCTTGTTGAGTTGCTGCCGTGCATCTTGTAGATGCCACACACTGCTTCTGTCGTGCAACAGTGAATGTTTAAGGTGGTGGATTGGTTACTTTGTCCTGGATGCCATCAAGCTGCTTTAGTGGAGATGCACCCATCGTGGCAAGTGGAGAGTATTCCATTACACCCCTGACTTGTGCCTTTTCGATGATGGACAGGCTTTATGGAGGCAGGAGGGGAGTTACTTGCTGCAGGTTTCCTCTCCTATGGTTAAAAATCCAAATAACAGAATTCTTAGTTTATATGTGAATTATTTTAAAATACAGTGAATTTGGCGGTACAAATCTTTAGAAAATTGCACTTTGACATTGTCAACCAGAACTGTGAAGTTTGGTTACAGAGATAAAACACAGGTGGCACGATGGCTCAATGGTTAATACTGCTGCCTCACAGCACCAGGGATCTGAGTTTGATTCCAGCCTCGGGCGACTGTCTGTGTGGAGTTTGCACATTCTCCCCATGTCTGCGCGGGTTTCCTCCGGGTGCTCTCGTTTCCTCCCGCAGTCCAAAGATGTGCAGGCTAGGTGGATTGGCCA